TATCATACTTTTTAGTTATCAAATGTTTTACAGTTATCAGATGTAGATTAATAAATGATATTATGATGATAAATATAATCACATTGTATGTTGCATTGAGAGTCGTAGGTACATTTGGCATGCCATTAATTTGAGTACTTTTCAGGTTATGATTGCACTGAAGTGCATCAAATCTCAGTTTCAATTTAGCTATAGTACATTCATGTACCCTATGATCAGTACCATTGGTGCATAGGTTATGATTGCACTGAAGTGTATTATATCTCAGTTTCAGTTATGATTCGGCACCGTGTTTTGCATAGTGCGCACCTTATACTCACATACCTTGTATTCTCTTATATATACATTGGGTTATAACAGTAAATGTGAAAGTTATGACAATAAATGAAATAAAGTAATATATAATTGAAAAGAAATTTTTGAAATATGTTCGAATGAAAAGAATAAAAGTTATTTATGATATTTGATGATGACTTACATGATTTTTTGACAAAATCATGAGATAATGATTTTCAGGTTTTCAGAAGGAAAACTACTTGACTAGCCCAATATGAAGTTTTAATGTTTTATTTAAATTACAGTTTATTGCCTATATTCTTTGGAATTTATGTTTTAGCTAGACTTTTGTCTCACTAAGTTTTACTTAGCGCGTGATGATTTTCATGCGTAGGTTCTAATATAGTAGAGGACGTGAAGTGAGGAGCTTGCCATCATCTTGTGGAAATCAAACCTACCGACAGTATCAGTAAGACATCCTAACTTTGACTTATTAGTGGCATGCCCATTATATCCGTTGGGTTACTTTATGAGAATTATATTAAAAAGGGTATGAAATAGCAATTTAGAACCGTTTTAATGTTTGGTGATCTACCAAGAAGATAGAGTTCCCTTAAGTAGAAACTCTTTGACATGATAAAAGTAAATACGATATTGTCTATTTCTCGGGGACCATAACCCCTTTATGTAGTTGATTTAAGAAACAATTATTATCTATACTTATAACTCTTCCCCTCATCGAATTATAAATACAACTTTAATAGTATCTACAGTTTATTTTCATGACACCGTTATAACATAATTAGTCAAGTAATTTATGTCATGTTTTATGATAACAATATACATTATAAATATGTGTCCATAATTATGGATTTTAATCCAACATTAAACACTTCATTACTTGCTTGAAAATCACTTCAAACACCACAAAAACATATATAAAGGTGATTTATATGACAATTCTTGATTTCATCCATTTAAACTTAAGTCTAATACTTTATACACATTACATTCATCATTCCTAACCATTTAAATCACTCTACAACTTCAACACCACTAATATTATCAACTTATAATTTGTATGAAAAATCTCATCAAGAACACCAAAGAAAATTATAAAATCATTTAATTCTTGTTTTGATTTGTTAAAACAAGTTTATAAACATCATCTCGAGTTTAAAATTAATCAGAACCAAGATTAATAAAGTAAAATGAAAATCACCATTTTGCTTATCAAAATCTCATTTAGAAAATTTATCAAAATTGGATATCACATTTATAAGGATCAAACCTTGATCTGAAGAGCAAAATCACTTTAATAAGTGATGAATATAGAATCTTATCTCAATTGAAGATGAAGAGCAAAATTGTGAAAGTTTTCATGAAAATCAAGTGAAAATATGTAGAAGACAATAAAATTTTGAGAGGATTATGGGAGAATAGAAAATCAAGAAAGGGGTAAAAATAAGTTAGTCATGATTTAGGATAACAAAAACAACTAACTAAAATGTTTTGGAAAAAGATGTAAAATTGGAAGAAAATATAACGTGAGAAATGGATGAAAATAACTCAATTTCAAACTTCAAGGTATAATTAATTTTGGGAGCTTACAAGTTTTCATCCTTTTATATTTTAGTACATTTTACTGTGAATTCCAAATTAAATCAATTTCAAAGTTTTCTTAAAATTAAATCATATCTAATTTCCAATACGATTTTAACATAGTTAGACATTTAGGCTACTCAATACTTCTCGTATAACATATTTTAAAATATTTTTAAAAAATTAAAAAAATAATTTTTATGCTGAGTTTTTTTAAAAAAAAAAACTTATTTCTAAAAATTGATATGACTATTCGATCGGACTATGTATTTATATTAAGTCGGATTTTAGGACGGTAGACCGAAGGTGTTATGACTAGGTGTTGGAGAGAAGCTATATGTAGAGTATTCATTAAATTTTAATATCTTATGTGTATGAGTTTAGTCTTGATACTTTGTTACAATGACTCGTTAACTTAAATAATGGATATGTAACTAATAGACAAATAATTATAATTTAACTATATATATTATTTTAGCCTACATCATATTAGTATAGATTGTCCATTCACTACCTCTTTATAACTCATGAATGGAATGCTTCTTGATCATAGACAAATTAAATTTTTTTAGATGAGATATAGAATGTAATATATATATATATATAAGTAATAACATTTTCACTATAATGAAATATGATTTGAAAATTTAATTTAATAAGTTTGGATTAGTATTTAACTGAGTTCAAAGGGGAATATTCAATTAGTAAATCATTTATTTGATTTAATAAGGAAAAATTTAAAATTAAAATTAAATATATTTTACATAAATTTTAAAAGGATAAAATTATTAGAATTTTACGAGGCTATGAAATATAAAATATAAATAAATAGTCATTTAATAGATTTTTTTATTAATCTGAGATAATATTTGTTTGAAGATAATTCTCAACCAATTAATATTGAACGCTCACACCCTTGACATTTCTGATGTTCGAACCTGTGACTCAGGGAATAACAACAATTCTTTTATCATCGAGATAACTTGGTTCATGCTTAGTTTTGAATAGAAATCTAAATTCAAAATTCAACCCTTAGTGAATATCCAACAAAACAAGGTTTTTTTTTGCCCAATACCCTAGCTGGAATAGTTAATTTACCTAATAGGTCGAATTTAAATTTATTTTACAATCTACGATAAATACTACTGTACATGTCAAACTCGTCATGTTGACGTGATATGTCTACCAAATTTTTTTTAATGGTCTCAATTCTCAAGTCAGCGAGCCACATGTGGACTAATATTATAATATATTTTTAGAGTCTCGTTATGTCGACGTGACGAGTCTCGTGGAAAATATTTTTTTAAAAAATTTAGTAAATAATTTAAAGTTAAAAAAAAAACCTTGGGACTCGTCATGTCAAGATGACGAGTTACGAGTTACCCAGAAATTTAAAAAACTAGTAGTTTATAGTAGTTAGATAATAGGTAACAACAATGGTCATATTTCAACGGCAAATCAAAACTCATTACGTCGAGATGACGAATTTTATAGGATATTTGAATAAAATAGTCGTTTATAGCCGTTGGGATTGAGGTATAAATAGAAGTTTGGGGTTTAGGATTTTTGTTGTGTATTGTTAAAAAAAACTTGAGAAAATTTTGATTTTTTTTTGAAGAATTCCTGAAAAATGTCCACCTGAGATAAAATGTTACGTCCTGATGTTGTCTGTATTTCTACGCTCGAACTCACTATGGAAGAAAAATGAGGCTTTTGGCAATGAGGAATGCCACTTAGAGATCCGTATCAGCGAATTATTATATATCTATTTGTATCCAACCAGATTTTTACGTGGTTTTAAGTTGAACCCGTCATTGAATTCGGTACTGATTGAACATTGGAGACTTGAAATGCATACTTTCCATTTTTTGAATGGTGAAGTGACGATTACGTTAGAAAATCTCGCTTACCAACTCGGTGTTTCGATTAGTGGTGCGACACTAGCGAAGCACAATAATTTCAACCGATTCGTTGTTGTTCAAGCAGTTTTGGGAAAAATGCCACCACCAGAGGTCTTAAATGGTTTCAGATACGAATAACTCCGTTGGAGTACAATTTAATATGACTAACGACACTACTGAGAATGAGGTCATATTTGTAACTCGAGTGTATATTCTCCAATTAATTCGAAGGATATTGTTACCTGATAAATTCGATAATTTGGAGCACATTCAGTATCATCAAGAATTATGAAAATATAAATAAATTTTATTATATATTGTATTAGTTTATAAAAACTTTTATTATTATTTTTGTATTAAAAAAATTTTAAAATTAAAATTTTAATTGAGTTTGACGACTATTTTCAACTATTAAATTTTTTAAAATTCAAAAGGTGTCCGTTGCCAACAACTATTTTATTTTAAATTCCAAGGTAACTCGCAACATATCCTTGATGAATTCCTGACTTTTTTTAAAGTCAAAATATATATATATATTTTTGGATAAATTCATCATGTCGGTGTAATGAGTTTAAATTATACTTTATTATTTGGTGTAGATTGTAAAATAAATTCTTAAGTGGACTATTGGACCAATTAATTTTGACGCTCGGGGTAATGGGGCAAAAGAACCAACCAAACAATGCCCTAATAAAGTGGCGCGTAATCTTGGGATGGGGTTGTGGTTGGTGTCAGAAATGCGCGCCAAACGATCGCCAATTTATTACACATAACAAAAGGCGCGAATAGCCGGTTCGAACCTCATTTCTTATTTTCCCCCTTTAATTTCTATTTCTATTTAGAGAAATTATAATCCACAATTTCATTGAATATCCACCCAATCGCACGTCACTTAAAACCTCACTTTCTTTTTTTGAAAAAAGAAACTTCATGATAACGTTGCTGTTACAGAATTAAAACTAATCTAAATTATAATTATAATTAAAATAAAAAATTATTATAAATGAGATTCTGTCTTTTCTTCAATTGGCGGGAGTTCTACAAAAATAAGATAATATCTTTTTTTAAGCTAAAATTTATTTAGTTTTACATTATTATATCATTAAATAAAATTTAACCAAAAAGGGTCCTCCACGTCTATATCCGATCGAGAATTCCCTCCCTCCATTTTTTTTCTCGTATCGGCTCACTTTCTCTCTCCCGCTTTTTTCTTTCTTTCAATTTTCCTTCTTCCCAAACACTAGATCTTAAAAAAAAACCCTTCTATTATCCGAGATACTTTTAGTTTAATTTCTTCTTAAGAAGTTCCAAAGCATTTTTCATTTTATTTTTTTTATTTAATTTTAAGTCTTATGTGATGTCGGACTCTCAAACAACGGAGCAGTTAAAGCAATCTATGCAGCAACAGCAGCAACAGCAGCAGCAGCAGCAGAACCAAAATCGGCCGCCGCTAAAACGAAAACTACCTTTTTCTACGAAGCCGGCGTTTATGGCTCCTGAATGTGATTATCACCGCTTTGCTTCAACTGAGCCTCACCGTGTTGCCGATCAAGATGTTGAAGCCATCGTTGTTAAGTCTCCCGTAAGTTATTTTTTCCTCATCTGTTTCAAGCCTTGCCTTTTCATTTCAGTTTTTTATATAATTGTTGTTGTTCGTGAGATTTAGTTCAGATCTGATTTGAATTTGACTTGGTGGGTGGATTTTATAAATTTTGATTTTAGTTGTTGCGTGTAAAATTGCGTCTGGACTTTATTTTGGTTTTGAGTTTGATAGAGTTTCTTTTCCTCTTTGGATTTTATAGTTGATAACTTTGGCGGGTTTTGGTGAATTTAGTTAATTATTGCCTTAATTTGGTATTAGGTTTGATTTGGGTCAATAGGGTTTTATTAATCCGAAAAAGACACACAATACCAGAAAATTTATTGCTAAAAGGTAAACAAGACAAACAAAACAAGAGAAAAACAGGCTAGAACACCAGCTTCTAATCTAAAGCGATTGTTCAAGTCTATGTGCTGGGTTTGTCTGGGGATTTTTGTTATTAGAATTATGCTTGACAAATTTAAGTTCAACAATACAAATTTACTAACCATGATGTTTGTAACAATACAAATTAAGTGCAACATTTTTTAGCAGTATGTTATGCAGCTTACTTGCTCCTTTGGCAATGACAGACAGCCCACTTTAATTTTTGATCAATTCATCTGGGTTTCTATTTTGTTAATTATTGGTAATGCTGATCAGGATCATTTGTTAAAATAATAGAATGTTAGACTCAACATTAAGCTCTTTAAGTTTGACCCTTTTTTATATTTTTGCTTTACCATCTTTTCTAAGTTTACTAACCATGTTTGGAGCAGCATTTTTATTTTACAATTATTGTTTCAAATTTATGAGTGAGATGCTGATGTTAAAGGTTTTGACATTTATGAGAAAAGCAATGTGGGTGTTGGCTGAAATGTCCATAGTGATGGGAAGTATCAAGAAGAAGAAGAATTTTCCATAACTGGCGCGTGGGATACATCAATAAAATCGGATTCTACTACCAGGATGAATGGTTTTGAGGGTTCTGGAAAATAATTTATTCTATCTACACATATGGAGTAGAAATATTCATGGTGAGCAGAGAAAGCTTTCAGGTGTCACTTTTGCCACTCGAATCATGTATTTATGGTTGATGAAGGAATAAAGCCTCCTTGTTTGATGGTTGCATCCACGCAGGAAAGTTATAGAAGTATAGAGAGGGGTTTTGGCTATGGCTTGCAGAATGAAAAGGGTTTCAGTATATGAATGTGTTTGGACAAGATGCATAAAAGGTAAGATGAAAATTAACTAGAAAGAGAAGTCGGCTGAACAAGGATGTCTGTCATTATCATTGCAATCAAGCCCTTCTCAGTTGGTTATTTTGAACAAGTTGATTGGTTATGAATGGTGAATGGCTGGAACATAATTTATAAAACAAATAAACTACAATGCTTGTGGAGTACACTAATAATCACAAGGCAGAAAGTCATTTCAAGTAGTTTATGGATATTAAGTACGTTGCTTCTTAACAGATGGGGGGATTTACCTGATGTTTTCTGGTGTATAAGAAGCAGGTGATCCAGTAACATGTGTGATTTCAATACACTATTCAAACTTGAGGTTGCAAGATAAAGAGTTGTTAATGCTACCTAGTTTGGGCTGCTAAGTAACTTGTTAACTGGTTTTTTTCAGCATCGGTTTTGTAGGAAAGCTTTATAGAAGGGAAAAGGCTTTAGTATTCCTAGTGGTATGATGATATGTTTCAATGCATACATTAAGTTCTTTCACTTGGTTTGCTTCATGACATCAGAAAGAAGCAGTTTGCCGTTATTTCCTTTGCATTCTGCTGTGGCTTTTGTTTTGTCATGTCATGCTGTCTCATAAAATGCTGAGGGTTAGAAAAACCTATCCAAATTCGAAGATGATGCTTCTCTGTTTAATTGAAGTTTGGCAGACCTAGTGAAGCTGATGGGATCTAGAAAGATGTAGCATGCTACAAATATGATTCAGTGAGAGTGCAGTTTGTTTACAGACAAAGGATCATGATGAAGCAAGTTATATGTATCAGTCACTTTGAACACTTTGATCTTGCTTGCTTTCTAATTATTACTTTCCCTAATCTTCTAAAAGGAATGAACACTGTTGATCGTAGGGATGAACACTTTCAATGGTGCTTACATTTAAGAGTTATTACTTGTCATAACTTTATAAAGGGATGTACGCTTTGATCTTGCTTTCTCTCGAGAATTATTATTTCACAGCCTTATAAAGGGACAAACTTTTACTTGTTCTCTCGTAAATTATTTGTTAATGTATATTTAAAAGGAGTTTTGAAGTTGAATACTTTTTCTATCATAATCAAAACATTGATGGTACTGCTAAGTTCACACATGATGGAATCATTGTTAGTACATGCATCATATAAGTAATTATATGTTTATCAATATTTAATTTAGAGCCTCTCAAGTTTCTGTTGATTTATTGCATATCTGATAATAGCTGTTAAGATGCTGAAAGCATCATTTGGTTGCAACTTTACAAAATTTTTATCATGTCAAGAATAATCTGGAGAGACATACAAGTGCATAATGCTTAATTGGCTAATCTACTTGTCAAAGACTTGTAGGCTTATTTAATTTTAGGAATCACCATTTCTTTGTCTGAATGGTAAAACTCTAAGCAGAAAGCTAACAGACAGAACACTAGCCTTGAAGATATTTTAATAGCCTGAGCTTCAACAATTGCATCGTGATTTTGTCGACTGTCAAGACCATTATTTAGACTGGACCAGGATTGGAAATTCCAGCTAATTTTTGAAGGAAAATTGGATAGCAAAAGGATAGGATGTCATTAAGCTAATTAAAATAGTGTCCTTTTGAGGATGTTGATGGAGATAATCTTTAAGAAAACATAGATTTACAATAATTCTCCTGAAGTTCAGTTAACGCAATCCAATGAAAAAAACAAACAAAAGAATAGTTTGTCATTGTTAATAAGTTGAAAAGACAACAAGGTTATAGCACTCAGTCCACTTGCAATTCAGTTCTCACCCTTGGTGCTCCTTAAGAGGCACTGGTTTTTGTTTCTAGTTGGTGATTGTGCTCTTGAAGTTTACATGACCGCTATAGGTTCAGTTTCACTGCTGTTTTTTATTATGAACAATTTAGTCATCATGGCTTTCTGTAGAATTTAGTTGGTAGCCATTTCGCATTCAAATGCTGAGATTTAGGTGTGTAACAGAAAAGGCCTACTCGTTTAAAAATTACATTTCTTCCCCTGCTCACTTCTCTCTTTTACGGAGTCAGGCTTTTAAGGTTCTAATTTGATAATGTCACTTGTGGGGAAAAAGGATGTCAGCGAATGCAAATTATCAGGATTTCTTTCTAGGTGGATGCTTCAGCTTCTTGTAAACATCTATATTTTTCTCCCAACTTTATCATCCAATATGATAGCTTTTTTACAATGGACCGCCTCTTGATTCTTTTGTGCCTAATTGTATTTGCCCCATGATTCTAATTGCAATTTGGAAACAATATATTATGTATCAGTTAAAGAGGAAGAGTGATGGAGCAGATCGAGAAGTTGAGTCTAGTGAGTGGGCAATGCCTCCAGGAAGCACTGAGTTGGTTAGCAGTCCCCTACAGACACCTGTATCAGGAAAAGGGGGAAAGGCTCAAAAAGCATCAAGACTAACAAAAAACAGTAAATCTGGTCCTCAAACTCCTGCTTCAAATCTTGGTGAGTAGTATTAAATGCCAGGTATATGACTAAAGATAATGTATGTGATTCTTCTTTGTATCTCTTCAATATCCAGTAATTGTAGATCCACAAGTTTTACTTGCAAAATCCTTGCGTTTTTGGCTACTACTGCTGAATCTAAAGGACTAAAAGTTGATATAGATAATGAGAACTTTTCTAATTTGCAGGTTCTCCTGGCAATAATCTCACTCCTGCAGGTCCTTGTCGCTATGACAGCTCCTTAGGTGGTTCTCTTTCCTTTTGTCTCTTTATGTACTTTTTTTGGTGTTTTATTTCAAGTAATGCTAATGAAGTTAATTGGCAAGTTATTGTTGTCATTGTTTCACACCGGTTACAGAATTGAGTGACTGAATTGTAAGACTGACTCAATGTCCTTCAATTTTAACTCAGGGCTTTTGACAAAGAAGTTCATCAATTTAATTAAACAAGCTGAAAATGGTATTCTTGATCTAAATAAGGCTGCTGATACACTGGAGGTAACCTTTTCATTGTTTGTTCAAACAATCAGGTCATACACTTTAATTTCTTGATTGTTTTCTGTTCCAATAGGTTCAAAAGAGGAGGATATATGACATTACCAATGTACTTGAAGGAATTGGTCTCATTGAAAAGAAACTTAAGAACAGAATTCAGTGGAAGTATGACCAAAAACTTATTTTCTCTAAATTTTGTTGACATGGACCACTTTTCTAATTAAGAAAACATTCATCTTTTAAATATTACAGGGGGCTTGACGTCTCAAGGCCAGGGGAGGTTGATGAGAATGTTGCTGCTTTACAGGTATTATTCATGCAATTATGCACAAATTGTTAATTGAAGAGCGGATTCTTGGATGATTTAGGTTTCAGCTCTATATTTTATTTTTTGGTTTGTGTTTACTTGAAAATTAGTCCAATTTTAGCTTCTTCATTGAAGTCATGCTCATTACTCATGAGCTAGTTCTTTTTTTGCTGCTCTTTGGTTGATTCGATGCTCCTTTTATCTACTGCAGCATGTCTTCTATTTCCATCTCAAGGTATCAAATTTCTTTTCAGCTGAAAAGATAATGTCAGTCTTTTCTAGTGATATCAGTGTGCTTCATAACTTCCATCAATGCCTCCTTAACCTGCTGGATTAGGCTGCTTGGAATGTTCTTTCTAGCTTTTATTCAAACAGACTTCTTTAAAAAGCCATGAATCTGTCACTACTTCAGTGAATATTTATCATTGATAATTACACTTGAAGTTTTTGGATCAAACACTTTCTGTTTATACCATCTAAATTTGTAATGGAAACTTCTTCATGGTAACTCTCCTGCAGGCGGACATTGACAATCTTTCTATTGAAGAGCGCAGATTAGATGAGAAAATAAGGTTAAGCTACTATGGTCTTTGCTACTGTATCTCAGCTAATTAATTTCACTCCCTGCATTGTTGCTGAGGTTTTTATATTGTACAGAGAAATGCAAGAAAGATTGAGGGACCTGAGTGAAGATGAAAACAATCAAAAGTAAATCTTCGTTTATCCACTCGATAATTTTGCTTTTACCCAATTTTAGCTGAACAACTTAAATCATTTCAATTTTTCCATCTTAGGTGGCTTTTCGTGACTGAGGAAGATATTAAGAGCTTGCCTTGTTTCCAGGTTTGTTAATTGATCAAATGTTATACTATATGTTTGAGTTGCTAATTGGTGGGGTCACATGGTATTGTAATGCTTGGGAAGCATCCTAATTTCTGCTTTTAACTACATGTTCTATTGCCTTGTTTAGAATGAAACACTGATAGCTATAAAAGCTCCACATGGAACCACTCTAGAAGTCCCAGATCCTGATGAGGTACTCTCAAAGGTTTGCAGAACTAACTTTTAGTTTATGTGTTAATGTTCAATCACATTTGCAACTTTTTATTTATATAGCAGGCTGTTGACTACAACCAGAGGAGATATAGGATTGTCCTTAGAAGCTCAATGGGTCCTATAGATGTCTACCTTGTCAGGTACTGCTACTTCTTGCTGGTTAAAACTTAAAAGTTTGTATACTTGCATTAAATTAATTTTTTTATAGAATCACAACCTTTTGTGCTAAAGATACATGTCCATCCGTATTAAAAGTGGTTAACTTCCTGGTGATTCCTATCTCTCTGATACTGTAGTCAATTTGAGGAGAACTTTGAAGAGATACAAGGTGTAGATCCGGCTCCAAATTTTCCCTCAACTTCAGACTTGAATGATAACCCCACAACAAATATGGTAACAGAGGAGAGCAGAGGGAAGGAGGTTGTCATGCAGGGTCATGATGCTAATAGAATGTGCTCAGATATTATTGGCTCGCAGGACTTTGTGAGTGGGATCATGAAAATTGTTCCCTCAGAGGTTGATGTAAGTTCTACTCTTGTACCATATTGATAGTGCTTCTCTGAGAAAATAAAATGCTTTCAGACAACAGCGGTATTGTTTGTGGATCTTAAATGTATGAGCGTGTTGATTATTCAGATAGGTTTTGCCTTCGGATAACATATTGTTGCATTTCTTCAGCTGGAACAACCATTTCACAATACCTATACGATGTTCTTAATTCGTATACTCTTTTGATAAATTGGCCATGACTAATTTCCTGATTTCTTTTGCAGAGTGATGCTGATTATTGGCTTTTATCAGATCCTGGTGTTAGCATCACTGATATGTGGCGGACTGAACGTATCCTCTGCTGAGATTTTCTTGAATTAAAAGTTTATTATTTTTTTCTCGCTCATTATTTTGCATTCCATGACTCTTTTGATTATAGCTGGGGTTGACTGGAACGAGTTTGATACACTTCATGGGGACTTTAGCATGGCTGCTGTTAGCACACCGGGTCCTCAATCTCCTCCCTCAAATGCAGCTGAAGTTCCTTCTAATTCATCTGGAAGGTAAAAGCCATATTTGCATTTGTGAAACTGAAGATTAATTGACCTATTCTTTTTGTTTAGAATATTCTTCATTCTCTGCAGACTGCCGTAAAGGTTCGCAAAAGTTGGGTACTTAACGTTTCTTCAAAAGTTCTGAGGAACTAAAGAATAGGAAGTTGGTAGCTCAATCACTGTACAGTAAGTAATACAAATGATCCAACGTGATCTTGAAGTATATAAGGTCACATTTTTTATCTGAGTTAATCGCTGTATATTGTTCCCTCTCTTTTGTTTTTCTTGCATCAACTAGAACCTGTCATTAGATTCACTTCGTAGGGTCACATAGACATCTTGTGATGGAAAACAAATGATCTGATGTACCTGCTTTTACTGTATTGAGATTTTTTTTATGAAATAATGATGTTTGTGACTTGCATGCCATGTTAAGTTCATGGCATGGCTCTACGAGAAACACCAAAATTGTTGTACCTGGCAACTAGATATGAAACAGGGTATTGGACATGGAAGTGCCCCAAAGATTTATCTTTTTTCAACCTTCTTCCCTATCCAACCAGGAACAATGTGAGTCAGAGAGAGGAAACATGAAAAGAGATGCAGTTTTTTGTGCAGCATATGCCAATGGAAGGGTACGACTTTCTCCCTGGTTGCATCGGTTGAGATTCTCACCTGGAATTCAAAATTCCGTCTAATGGTTAGTACTCAGTTCCACCCTTAGTCACTAATTATGAAATGAAAGCATAAAAGAGAAATTTGTAACATATGTGTGTGTTTTAATTGTTTTATTGGTTTTGTTTGTACCTTTTAACCAAAGCTTGAAAATCAATGCCTGCACTAAGTAGTGCATAACAAAGGGAGAAGGAGATCAAAGAAAGGCTAATAGAGGTTGCCAAGTATGCTTCTTCGCTTGGTCACCCTTGCATTTCTTTTATTGACCTCCATCCTTGGAACTGAATATTTTAAGATATTTTAAAAAAATAGATGAAATCATAGGCACGAAGTTAGCTTCTCATCAAACCCAAAAACACCAATAGGAGAGAAGAGAGAGATATACAGTAATAATTAAGAAAAGAGAAATGAAGTAGGTACCTTCCATAGCCCAGTTTCAAGACCATACTCATTTGGTCTACAGATAAAGACGGGGTTTCAATTTCTTCACTTTTATATTTGATAGCTTTGATTCTGAGGCTTTAAAACCCTGGTTTGATGCAAGTTTGAGTTGAAGTCAAGTAGGAAAGCTTTTAGATATTGAAGTTGTCGCTTTGGTTTAGATTACCATAGATTCTCTATCCAAAACAAAATTTATGTTTTATGACAAAGATATTGGAAAACCAAGAATAACTTTATAAATAAATTTCATAAAATAAATTTTCTAATTATTGGGACTCCGCCTGCGTGTGTTGGAAAGGGAAGAATACAGCGTATGTTTGCTAAGAGACAATATTGACCACCAAGTGCCAATATAGAGAGATCATATGTGAATTTGCGTCTTCAGTCGCATTCTTTATTTCAGGATATAAGAATAAAGAATTCCCAATCTTATGGGGCTATGGCCTAAATCGTTATTCATATTCTTAATTTAGTCTTAGATCAACTTTTTTTTCTTAATAAATTTGAGGGGTATACAAGATAGTATTTGTTTAATTAATGATGTTTAACTATTTCACAATGAATGTTTGGTTCGTATCTGTCTTAGATTAACTTAAGTACTTAACTATATCAAAAGTAAATTTAACATATATTGTCTATTGATTAATTAATGAATTGAATATTATAGATATCTATTATGAAATAATTCTTTTAATTTAATTTACATTATTAGACTTTCTAACTTGGACTTAATAATGTTTTATTCTAGTGTTTTATCCTATTGTACTTAAAATTGCATGTTAAACACTAATGAATTTAGTTTAGGACATTGTTTAACTAATCATCCGTTTTTCTCGTTGAAATGACGGACTAATGCACAACAAAAATTCAAGAAGGAACCGGTTACTTATAATCGGGCATGTGGAAGGCAACTTTTCTAATTTTTCTCCCCCTAAAACATTTATAACATTAAACTTGATGTGTTTCAAAACTCAAGGATTTTATATATTTAAAAAGTAATAGAGCTGATAGTTTTGTTTTCCTTTCGAATCACGAGAGGTTACTGAAATTTTAATTATAATTTTTTTATAAAATATGTGAATTAGACGAAATGTGATTTTTTTCACTCATAATTGAATCTATATAACCTTCGAGACGTTGTAGCAACAATGGTGCAGTAACACCTAAATTTTAAAATTTGAATTTCACCTATTAAGGGTCATTTTAGTATAATTTTTGAAAACTGATTTTTAAAAGTTGTAAAAATGAATTTTTAGAAATATTGTATAAAAGTGTAGTTTAAAATTTAGGCCTTACTTGACGTGATTTTTTAAAAGTACTTTTAGTTAATAAACTCGTTTTGACCGCACAACCAATGTTAATGTGTAAAAAATGGAAAAACAATTACGGTGGTTTAAACAATAACAAAAACTAGGATTTATAGTTTTTTTCATTTTCAATTTTATGTTTGGGAACATATTATAATTTTACCCTCAATAATGTATGGTTTCTACTAAATTATATATTTATATTTTATTTTATTAATTTAATATTAAATCCGTACCTCACCAAGTGGATGGATCAAAGTTAACTTGGACGGAGCTCGTCACAAGGAATTCGGCCTCGTCTCATGTGGAGGAGTGATAAGAGATCATAAAGGAAGGTGGTTAATGGGCTATTCCAAATTTCTTGGAACCTGTTCAGTACTAAAATCGAGTTACAATCCTAAGGCATATTGACAAGTCATCTTGGAAACAGCCCGGAGGCTATCAAGGCAGTACAAAGAGCACGATCCGACAAAAATCGAGTTACAATCCTAAGGCATATTGACAATCTGATGAATTAGGAATGGAAAGTGAAAGTCCAACATGACCCTAGACAGAAATAATGTCGCATATTACATGGCCAAAAAATGCAGATAGGAGCAGCTTGGACTGTCTCAGATTTGTCGAACCACATGCAGAAGCAAGGAGGATGTTGCTCGTGGAAGCCAACAATGACGTTCAGTAGTTATTTAACTAGATTTTCATTTTTTATTAAAAAAATAATTTATTATTTAATAATTTATTTTAATTACTGAAAAGTAAATAAAATCCAATGGTTTATATATTATAATATTAATAGTAAGTTATCATAAAATATTTTTTTATTATAATTATATTTTTTATTTGTATTTTTATATTTTTATTCTACTTTAAACTAATATATTTCATATATAATAGCAGTTTCATTTGAATTTATTTATAATATATATTTTATTATAATAGTTTAAGTTGTATATTTTATATATCATAGTATTAATAAGTGTAAATATAATTTAAATTCTATACTTTTAGTTTGCAACATAATGTATATAATGAATATTTTATCTTTTTAAACTTAAATTTTAATAACTATCTCAAACAGTTAAATTTAAAACTATATTTTTAAACAACACTTTTAAAGTTCTTTTCTACAACACTTTTAAAAGTCAATTTTTCAAAAACTCTGTCAAATTGATTCTTAATTGTTTGGGGTTATTGTTAAAAAGTGAGTTTGAAAAGATAAAATGTACAATATAGACATTATGTTGCAAATTAAAAATATAATACTTAAATTATATTTATAATTATATATGAATCATATCAATTTAAATTATAATAAATTTTAAAAAATATTATTATATATGAATTATATCAATCTAAACTATAATAAAAAATATATATAAAGAAAATATAATTATAATAAAAAATTATTTTATATAAGTCATTTTTAATATATAAATCATAAATTTTATTTATTTTAAATAATTAAAATAAATTATCAAAAGTAATAAATTAATTTTTAATGATGTTAGTATTAAATTATTAAAATAAAGGGTAAACTATATAAATTGTCACTAATGTTTGAGTAAATTTTTGTTTTCCCACTGAAGTTTTAAAAACAACAAATTGGTCACTAACGTTATTGATAGAGTTTCTTTTTCATTGCAGTCGGACTCATAACTCCTTGTTTTCTCCATCCCCGCCTTTCTTGCTTCCATTATTTTTCTACAACAGAAAAAATAAAATAAAAATGAAATGGTAACAAGGAAAGAGAGGGGAATGGGATTAGAGGGGAATCAAATGGCTAGTGAAGCGGTTAACATGCCACGTGAGCTAATTAACATGCCACATCAGTATTTGTCACTCACAATAATAACTATTAACGGTGAGTGATCAATTTGTTATTAGTCAATAACATTAGTGACTAATTTGTTATTTTTGAAACTTCAGTGAAAAAACAAATACTTACTCAAACATTAGTGACCATTTATGTAGTTTACTCTAAAATAAAATGTAAATATGTAATTGTGTAGAGCCCCTACATTAGTAAATGTAAAATTATAATTTACTTTTAAACTCAAAGCTGAAAATAAAAAAGCTAGAAATCCTAGTTTTTGCGGTTGATATGAAACCACTGTTTCCATCGTAATTTTTTTTACTTGTTTGACATTGATTTTACGGTTAAAACGAGTTTTTTTTAACTAAAAATACTTTTAGAAAGTTTTACCAACGTACTCTAAATCAGATTTTTGGAGTAATTTTTTATTTTAATAAATGTTAAGTGATTTCAATATTTTGAAGATGATTAATCATTTTTAAAGGAATCCAATTTTTGAATTTCATATTGGATAAATTATAAAATATTTTATCGAGTGTGTTTTTAGATTAATTATTATGTGATCGATAATAAATGATTTTTGACAGTTGAAAATATTCGATTGATTTTCTATAAAATTTGTTCATTTTTTTAACAATGATAACTGGATTTTATTAATAAAAATAATGGAAAAAAATCAAATTACAATGCACTCAAAGAGAAAGGCAACAATAGTCACCAAAAAACTAATCTCAAAGATATAAAGAAAAACGAAACCTCCATTGAGAATTACGTCCAACATAAAAAAATCCAGCAACTTTCATAAAACTCATTGTCTCTGTCGAACGAGACGTTTTACGAAGTGATAAATGGGTGGTGAGAAAACCAAACAATTTGGCAAACTACTTTGCTATATAATTCTGATTATATCAGCAAACAACTTTTTACCAAATAATGGATCTAACAATACGTGACTACCAATAATCTAATCAGAAAACAAATGTCGTGAAGATCTTTGTGCGAATACCAACACGACCGTAGACGTATGCGAAAAATGTATAAAAAACCATAAGGAACGTGTCACAAGAGCAGAGAAAAAATATGTCACAAGAGCAAAAAAAAATG